TTGTAACAACAATTTGTCATTATGCAAATGTTTTGTGTGTTGGTGGAGGCCGACCAGGGCAGAGGGCAGAGTGCCAGCCTGCTCTGCTAACACTGGCAGCTCCCTTCAGAGGTGAGAATGAGCAATGCTGCTCGGCCTCTCCACAGGATATCTCAGCACCGGGGGGGAAACTACAGAGGAGATGTTGGTAGGTGGGCGGTGAGGAAGGCAGCAGATTATGAGCCGCACTTCCATGCAGATGCCCTCGCTCAATGAGGCCGCAATTTCTGTCCCCGCACCGATAAAAACAGATTTCATTATTCAGAGTTGTTTTCGTCCCTCTAGTGGAGCCTATAAGGGATCTGATTTCATATTACTTTGTCATATAAATACACCATTCTGCAAAATGTGGCCTCAGCTGTGGCCTTATTTAGAAAGAACATGTATTAATGTGCTGCAGGCTGCCGACTAACACGACTCGACAAGTACCAGGCACACATATATTCACAGTGTAATAACACTCTGCAGAGTGAGGAAGTATCTGTTACTTTCTCAGAATATCACTAAAATGTTATTAATGCGGCCGAGAGTGACCCAATAAATATCTGAGGTGAAGAACTCCCAACACCAGCAGACCCTGAATACAACATGAACCTGTCATGTCACTGGTTTATCAAATCTGGAAGTGATCTAGAGATAATCCATGACTTAACACGGACAGCACTGCGCCCTCTGTGCAAAGCAGTGAATCCCCTTAAAGTTTAGGTCCGTGGAGAAAAGTCTATTTTTTGATGATGTTTTGGTCTTAAAGAACAATTTCACAAGAGGATCCTTTCATTAAAACAAGGTTGTCTATGTAGTACAAAAGGTGGAATTGAAATAAGTGCCCTATGATTTTTTTTTAAAAGCTGGAACTAATTATTATCTAGAAAAACTGTTTGTTCAATAAAATGTCCATCACATTCTCCCAGTCCCCTAGACAAATCCAACCAAGTGTCCAAAACCCAAAATATATTCAGTTTAATATAAAAAAGACAATGAAAAGCAACTATTCCTGAAATTTAGACGTTAATAGGTAATTAATATAGCTTGAAATAGCTTGAAAACATTGTTGATTATGTTTCTGTCAATCTTATAACTGACTCATTTTTCAGTTCTAGTTGTCCCCGTTGCTCTTAATATTCAGTATTTTCTTGCCAATTTCCATTTTAGATTAATCAAGACTTCTAACCAGACAATCCTGCTGGGTGCACTCACAGTCACCTTTATCCCTTTTAGCAGATTTTACATCTTGATGACTTCACAGGTTCAAATGTAGTTCATGTTCAGGAATAATGGACCAGATCACATATGGCCCCAGGATCCAGGCCTTATGATCGGGACCAGTTCACATCATGTCCTCCTGTATTACATGTCAACGCACATTCCCCACATCTCTCAACACAAAAAGACCTGCATATGCATTTCATGACACTGTTGGGAAATGGGTTACTTTATATTTGGGTGTGTTTAAAGATAAGACATCCTAACCCCTCAGTTTAAGTCACTCTCCACTGGAGCATTCAGGAATTCACAATGAAAGATCATAACTGCACTTTTAGCTCAGGACAGGATGGAGTCTACCTTCATGTTGTGATCAGAGATGATTTGAATGCAAACTGGGTGCCAAAGTGACCTTTACAGCTGATGAGCTTACCAGCCAGAGCCAAGAAATGCAGCAGTGTCTGGTTGCTGGCTTGTGTGTTACTACCTACACCTGATTTCAGTGCCTGTATCCCACCACATCCGATCCATCCTAACCTTGAGGCAGGGCACAGAGCCAGCCAGACAGGAGCTGGTCCTGTTACCCTGACCCCAATGACATTTGCTCTATGTGACGGTAACACGCACACAGCTGCTGTGTAAAATGACCCAGACAGCACGTTTGGATGGTCTCTGGCACCATCTCACTCAGTTGGGTGCGATACAAATCTGTCTACTGAGCCGCAGAGGGACTGGCTCGTTGGCAGATCACCATCATCCCCGCATCCATATTTAATAATCTCGTAATCTAGAGATCCGGGCTAAGAGCTGACAGACGCACTGACTGACCTGTTGCCTGCGGGATGTGGCAGAGCCATGGTCTGCGCTCTCCGAGGCTCCGCTCCCCTCCTCCGCCCGTGACTCCTCGGCGTTGGTGGCAGCGGGGGCTCGGTCCTCCAAAGCGGCGTCCACCATCTCCAGGTGTTTGCACCTGAGCACCTCCAGCTCCAGCACCCCGGCCAACGTCGCTCTGAGGCGCTCTCCGATGCGGACGCGCTCGGTGCCCGACCACAGCGAGTTCACGCAGCCGCGGCGGCCGGCCATCCTCGTCGGGGTGCGGGCAGGCGGAACCAGGGGCGCACCGCTGACCACCGCTCACTCGCCGTTCAATGGATGAGAGGAATGAACGGGCTAAGGTCCAGCTCCAGACAGAGCAACACGGTTCCAGACAAGCGATAGCAACATAGCAGGCGCTTGAATTAACGTAATAAGGAAAATATAATCCTTACCATCTCTAATGTGCCATGCAGCCTACAGCTTCAGGCAGCCCCGCTGGCTGGCACAAGACTTGAATTAATGAATCCATAGGTACACCGAGGGAACATCAACCAGCCATGCCGCATATTAATCCACACTTAATTTCCTGTTGACACTGTCCCCTTTTTTCATGTCACTCATACGCTTTCCCGGTCCACTGCAGTTTCCATGGCGCTGGGCTCCGTGCGCTGCGTCCCCGATGAGACAATGCAACAGACGGACAGAGGGTGATAACGTTTGGCTACATGTGGGAGCAGGCGGGCAGCAGAGAGGAGGAGCCACTGCACCAGAGCTGCACGGGGATTGGTCGGGGAAGTTTTTCGAACGGACGCGTGGAAAAAAATCCGACTGCCCAACTTCACCGAGGACAAATACGTTCCTACAGTGTTCCCATAGAGGTGGGGAGGTTAGAGAGTGCCCTCAACATGCCCTTCAGTCAGTGGTGGAAATTAACTTAGTAGGCTATTTTTACTCAAGTACTGTAGGCTACTGTTTTTGAGGTAGGCTGCTTGTCCTTGAGTATTTCTATTTTCTGCTCTCCACAACAAATGATGATGTAATATTACAGATTAAGATACCCAGTAGTATATAAAGTGATAGAATTAGCTTTACCATACCATTACCAACATCTGCATTAAAGTAAATTAATTATAAACGATCCAGTGATATTATAGCCTATGTATTAATCTGAAATAGATCATTCTGCATAATAAATACTTGGACTTTTGGTAAGTAATATAGTACATATATAATATATTGATGCTACTTGATGTGTTTTTGCTTAAGTAAGATTTTGAATGCACTTTAATTTGTAACAGAGTATTTCTAAAATGTGATATTGCTGCTTTGACTTAGGCTAAGTAAAGAAGAACTGTTGTTAATCTTATTACTAACTCTGGTGCTTTTCCTGCTACTTCACACATAAAGTATCATTAGTTAATCAAGTTAGACCGTTATTATTGAACTTTGTGTTCAAATGGTGCATAATCCCAAATAAAGTTGTGTTTAATGAAATTACAACAAAACGCACAAGCCCTCTTAAAGGTGAATCTGGCCATCCGTCTGAAATGCAAAAAGATTCATATTCTTCTTTAACTAATGTAAAATATCATTATTATTAATAAATCTGTTATTTTGGTTGATTCAGACTTGATTGCAATTTTTGTTATGTTAGATGTAACCTACTTCATACAATTCATACGTTTAGGAATATCAGAAGTTGGAGGATTAATCAGGTTTATCAACTAGACTCATTGGTAAAACTGCTGGAAGAAAATCTAATATGAGTGGTGCTGATATGCTCCTCACATATCTGTATTCTTTATGTTTGACAGGTGCACTGCACTTTTCTCTAGCGCCACGTTTCAACCAGCAGAGGGGGATCTTCACCTGCAACAGAACATCTGTGCCTGCTCATGTTTCTGCAGGCTGGTGGCTCTTGGACTAAGGCTAAAACAGCGGATATATGTTAAGGAAAGGAAAGTTTATTTTCACATCACATTTCAACAACAAGACAATGCATAGTGCTTTACATAAAACACAAAAGCAACATGGGGAAAAGAGTGAAATAGAAAGTAAAACCAAAATATCAGCAGTATCAGCAGACCTGCAGTTTTCTGGGAGTTTGTTCCAGATATATGATGCATAAAAACTGACCAACTGCTTTGGTCTTAGTGAAGACTCAAGCAGCAACTTTAACCTTTCAACCAATTTTAGCCTTGACAAATCAATCTCAACTCAAGGTCCATTTAGCAGCTTAGCAGTTCTGAAGCTTTTGACCATATATCACATGATCTTGACCACCGGAGTCGAGTTTTCCCACTTCCAGAGGTGGAGGAAGTTCTCTTTTAATGTAAAAACTTGTGCATTTAAATGTTTACATAAGTGAAGGTACAAAAGTATTCGCCTCAAAATATGCTTAAAGTAATAAAAGCAAAAGAAATCATTATGCGGAATGGGCCATTTCAGAATGTCCATCCATCCATCGTCAACCGCTTATCCTGCGTACAGAGTCACGGGGGGCTGGAGCCAATCCCAGCTGACATCGGGCAAAAGGTGGGGTACACCCTGGACAGGCCGCAAGTCCATTGCAGGGCCCCATTTCAGAATATATATATAATTATATTATGTCAGTGTCCCAGTAAGCCACGGCAGTGTGACAGTGAGCCAGATGAGACCAAGACAAGGACCCTTAAACTGAAGCAGCTAAATGGAATTCAGCCATGATTCATTTTACAATTTAAACCAGGTAGTTTTCCTACTGAGACAAGTGAAAAGTCCTGTCAGTGCTTACTGGCAGGCGTTCTCTTGTGCTCAGCGCGACAGAACCTTTTTCTTTGTAAGTGCAGTAAATGTAGGAGTCAGTAAATATTAGTAAACAATAATAATAGTAAGAAAAAAAGAACGAGAAACTGCATGGAAGACAAATGGGAAGATATTCACATTCATTTGCTGCAGTCAGGAGTCAACAAAAATGTGTGTTTATGTGTTTGTGTGTTGGTTGGATTCAGAGCAATCAAATGTCATGATAAAGATGGCGCCAGGTTTGGGTCCAGCTTCCCATAGAGTCCCTGTTTATCTGAATCATTACCACATGCCCTTCACATGGTGAGCTACTCTAATTACACTTCTCTCTTCATGTTTGTACTCCTCTGTCTGAATGTGTACGTGACAGCGACACCATTGTCACAAGTAGATGTGAGATGTGAGATAACCAGTTTGTGTGAATCTGGTTTGAACCAGTAAAGACAGTAAGAACACACACACACACACACACACAGATGCACCCCTGCATCCACACACTGCCCACCAGGACGAGGAGTGTATCTTTGTGTGTTGGTATCACATTTGTTGACTCCTCCCAGCTCTGTCCCCTATAAATCACCAGTGGTCAGAGCAGCTCGTTGAGAATTGTTAACTTCCACCCGAGGGGACTTCACTGTCAGCCCGGGCCAGACCGCCAGGCAGGCTCCATCAGCTGCACCGCATCCATTACCGCTGGTCTCTGCAAACTGCCTCAAGCAACAAACAACCAATGGCGCCTTTTGAGAAATCCATGGAGATGATGCCCTTCAAGCAGAGAAAATGCCTCAGTAAGTCCCATTGGTTCTTTGAATGCGGTAGTTGCTACATGTACTTGCATTAACACTGTATGGATGCTGTTTTTAAATATGTGAAATGTAGATAGAGAAGATAGTGCACTCTATTTTCCTTTTAGAAACAAGAAAAGATGAAGTGTGCAGCATTCGGTCTAAATTCCCCAACAAATTGCCCGTGAGTTGGTTTTTCCATTCTGCTCTTAAATTTGATACTTTATATTGTGTGTGGTGACACTAGCAGCTGATCCCAGATGTGTTTTTATGTTCAGGTAATTGTTGAACGTTACATCCGTGAAAAGACTCTTCCCCTGTTGGACAAAACAAAGTTCCTGGTTCCCTCCGAGCTCACTTTGGGTCAGTTCCTCTGCCTGCTCAGGTAAAGGATTTATGTAACTGTGTGCTCTGTAGAATCATAGACTGTCTCACAGCTCCTACTCACTTCACACCCAGCTTGTTTTTGATTGTTCTAGCCCCTTTATTATCAATGCAACCCTCCCTTGTCTCTACTTTCTCCCCCCAAGCTGTCAGATTTGCCATTGTTCTCTGTCTGCCTCCCTCATGCTCTCTTCTCCATTATGCTAAAAAGTTCTCTTTTGTTTTCCATCCTTTCTCCACCGCTCCAACTGTCTCTCTCTTTCCTTTCTTTCTGTTAGGAATAAGATTGCCTTGGACTCCACCCAGGCTCTGTTCCTCTTCATAGCAGAGAAGAGCATGTCCTGCATGTCCTCCAGCATGGGGGAGGTTTATTCCCACCACAGTGACACTGACGGCTTCCTCTACATCACCTATGCCTCGCAGGAGATGTTCGGAGCACCTCAAGCAGCAGCCAGGCCACCCTGCTGAGCCTGAAGCAGATGAAATGAACTTAACCCAGACCGATGGTGGTGGCACCAACTGGAAAACAAGGACAAACTGAGCCAAGCTGAGTTTTTTGACCAGTTTTTTTGCCCCAAACTGTATACCAGCCTACCTCATGAACCTTTCTGGACATTTAAACACAGCAAATCCCTCCCCCTTGTCCCAAATAAAAGCTTCAATGCAAAAACTTTCACTTTGCTGTAATGCCAGTTCACTGTAAAACCACCACAACCTTCTGCACGCTACACAAACAGGGTCAATGTCTTGCTGGTAATCAGAATCCTTTTTTAGCACTTATCTCCCCATCCTCATCTCCTTTCTTTGAATGCCCCTTCATCCCCGCCTTCCCTTCAGAATGTGAATCTGTGGTCCGGACTCTCGAGGCACTCGGTGAAAACATGAATGTCAGTTTAATGCTGCTCTGATTTGTTCTGCATCCAGCTGTCATGTGTATCAAAAAAATAAATTCTCCTTCCTTTTAATTTGTTGTCTTCGTGTGATATTTAGAGTTTATAAGAGATACACACAGGTAAAAATATCATGCGCTATGAACTGTTGGTGTTTTTTTCCTACTTACATGCTGCTTAAAAAAGTGTCCCTTTAAATATTTTTAAGGTAACAGCTGTGTTTTATAGCTTCAAGTCCAGATGTTCTGAGGTCATTGAATGGAGTAAAATATTATATAAACCACAGAGAAACTGTTTAATCCTTCATGTTAAAAAAGTAAAAAAAAAAAAATCTACTATGTCTACTAAAATACCACAGTGGGGCGTGATACACCTAAAATCTAGTGATTTCCCAGTGTGTACTGCACACACTCATACAGGTGCCTCATTCCTCACCTGCCTCTGAGAAGTGGCACCCCCTCCACATGACTTTGTTATGTAAGACTGACCCAGTCAACTATCTGCAGGGGTCAGTATGCCAGAGGGCCAGAGGGATTATTTTTAGACATACTGTAGATGTCACCTAAGAAAGAGTCAGGGGTGTGATGGTAATGCAGATGACAAATAAATAAATAGAGGCAGAAAAACAGGGAAAAGCTGCTCTCCATAAACAGTGGAAGAAATGGAGGGAAGAGGGGGAAAGAGACAAGGGGGAAGATAGTGACGGCCCAACAGAGGAAGACAGGAAAAAGGAAACACTGCATAGGAGAGATATACAGTGGGGGAGAGAGCCAGCTATCCAAACACACAGCGTTCAGAAACACAATCATACCTCCTCTCACTTCACACCACTGCGGGCATTCCAGCAGCTCTCTGTCAATAAATTATCGTACCAGAACAAGAGGAACGCTGCAAGCTACTGCAAGCTGTAAAATATCTTTCTGACCACAGAACAGTTTCAGTTGACAAAAACTCTTAAAACAAAGTGCCGCAGTACCAAACATCTGTATGCAATTTTGTAAAACATCACACTGCAGGTTCATGACAGCAACACAACACTGCACACGTTCATCACTGAATTTTAATCACTGCAGCATATTTAAAGAAAATCATCATCATCAATGTAGAGCAATTTTGTTTATTGAATTATGCTGTAAATATAGATCATTTAGTCTAGAATCTGACCTTACATGTAAGTAAATCCTACATTCCTACAAGGTAAAATTGTGCTTTTGACTGTACAATGCATCAATTTACATACAGTTTCCTGTTTGTTTTATTCAAGACACCAAATCTTGTATGTGTACATAAACTACAATATGCTACAGTAAAACTGTGAGCTGGAAAGCATATCACAATAATAATAATCTAATTTACAGCAGCCGACACATTTTCAAAGTAACCAAAAGAGTAAGATGCTTCAGTCGGACATATAGGCAAGTCAGTAGAGCTGTCTGTTTCCAAACTTTTGTATTTGGTTGGATTCAAATATTAGGCTGTATTGTGATTGACAGTGCCCTCTGTGTTATGATTTTATTTATTTATTTTATTGTATTTTTATTATTTTCCATTTTAATTTTACTGTGTATCTGTTTTTATATTTCTTATAAATACATATTTATTGCCATTATTTCATCAATTTTACATTATCCTTCTGATCTTTCACTGCTCTCTTCATTGTAGTCTGCCTTGAGGCCTCAGTCAGTGGATCAGGACCACTCAAGGGGCCCCTCGGAAAAACCAAGGGCTCAAGTCCACACCTGCGATTGCAAATACACTTTATTTGAAAAAAGTTATACTTTGCAACACTATCAACTATGAACAGTACAGCTGGTTCAAAATAAATATAAGTTATATATCAATAGGGCTCTTTCTTATTAATGCAACATGAGTCACAACAGGGAGTGCATGGAGAAGTGGCCCTGTACTTCAGCTGCAGCAGAGAAGAGCTGAAGGTACAGGAAGGACACATCCAGGTGTTGTGTCCTAATATGAGTCTATCCAAAAAATGATACCTGTAATAACTTGTCAAGACACAAGAGAGCGCCTCTGGACTTTATCAAAACTTAATTCTCCTGCCACTGTGATAAAAAAACAAAAAAAAAACAGCTGCTGAACATGTGTATTAGAGGCTGACTGATAATCTGGTGAGTCAGTGTGCAGAATTTCAATGAGCCTCCATGGCTGAGGCTGAGTGTGCTGATGAGGGAGGGACGCATGACTCTGAGTGTGTCCTGAAAATGAAACGCAGCGCTGTGTTTTGGAGGAGGAAGATTGGTGCTGTGATGTGGCGGCTGATAGACATAAACCACCAATGTAAAAGAAAATGTAAACACACATGAGCAGATGTGCAGTGAAAGATATAGTATTGGAGTGTTTATGTTTTTCTTGGCCCTGCATCAATCACCTTGTTGCTGTTCCCTTTAGTTCACATGGGAAAACATCATATAATTGGTTCAAATTTACTATTAAGCATTCAGGTGCATCTGATCTGCATTTCAGTTTCTTATCTTTTGAATTATGCAAACAGACCTCAGAGCAGATTCAGATAAAAAGTAAAGGTGAAGAGGTGATTGTGAAGTGAATTTAAATCTCCATTCAGACTCCAATATGACTTTAATGAAGCTAAAGCTTCCAGTCTGTTTATGAGTTATGCTTGTCTCCTTGAGCCTGAATTTGTAGCTTTGTAAATTGTCTCCATGTGTCCTCAAAGTGCTCCAGAGAATGTCACAAGTGTCTGCCTCCACCACTGCTTTCAATTTGGCCTCAAAAATATGCAGACTCCTGTCATGGGCAAATGGCCTTACATGTCCTGTGGCAGTGCTGACGATGGTGCTTTCTGTCCTACAGGGGGCAGTAGACTGCATTGAAACTATCAAAAATGAGGGCATTTCAAAATAAGACTCTTTATGTCTTATGTATGACCTCTGGGTGATAGTCCTTCACATGACCCTCAATGACAAACAAGTGCAAATGTTTTTAATTATTTATCTGCTTTTCCAGTGGGACTTTCTCCTGTAACTCAAACATCTGATGAACTCATCAATGTTATGTATCATAGAAAGATTCAATAAAAATCTACATAAACCATGAGTCAGATGGTACTGTATTCCTTTTTATTTATCTGGCAAAATAAAGGGAAGGGAAGCATTTGGAAAGAGCCAAAGTTAACAGTCAGGAAATACAAAAATATAGATAACACAGCTGTTTTGATTTATTTCCTCTTTCTCTCTCCAAATGGAAAAAAAAAAAAACTTTATTTCTTTGGATCAACATATAATAATATGGACTTGATACTTATAAGACATCTTTTACACACAGGATGCACAAATCCATGTTCAGCCTTCATCATGCAACCTCTAACTACTCAGTTCATGGTCCAGTGATGTCTATTCATCAGTTTGCAAATCATCCCCCCTCCCCTCCATTTATTTCTAATAGATATCTAATGCACAAAGATGGAGCTCCCTCTCTCCCACCTGAACCCTCTAGTCTCTCTCTGGTGAAAAAGATCACAGCGATAGCTCCTCGTGGTGTGTCAGGAAGCCTGGAGACTCGCAGCTTGATAGAGGCTGTTCATGCTTGTGGTTGGACTTTTGTCTGGAGAGTCCTAAACATGATGAAAAGCACTGACACGGCTGGTCTCCAGGCTTCTCCCCACTGTTCCTCTAATTCTCCAGGACTGTCCCACGTTTGGACGGGGGCACCAGGTGTTCAGGCAGCGTGGGCGGCAACTCGTGGCCCTCCAACTTCACCTTGATGAGGTGGTTGGCCAGGGCGAACTCCTCATCATCGAGGAGGCCATCTTTATCCACATCTGCTAGCTTCCAGATCTTTCCCAGGACCGTGTTGGGCAGCTTGGACTTCAGCATCTCCTTCTTGGCTGCGGCGCCAGACACTTTGCCGTTGATGGGCGAGAGGGTGTAGAAGATCTCATCATATGAAGGCTTGTCACGACCCACCACCCACTCCAGCTCATCGATGCCTTCGCTGGCACCCTCTCCATAGCCATGACCAAAGGGGCCGCTCATGGTTCCCTCAAAGGCTCCGCCCTTGACAGACTGGCTGGGCATGGTGGCCTCTTCCTGGCGCACCATGGCCATGAGACGGGCGATGTCGTTGGCGAGCATGTCCTCCACCGTCTCCAGCAGCTTGGGCTTCAGCGCTGCAAACTTAGAGAAGTCCTGGCCGTTCAGCAGCTCCTAAAGGAATTGGGGGGTTGAGAGAAAACAGGAATTGGTGATAGAAATAGATCAGTCTTCAATGGTTACCAATGAGAACAGCATACAAGAAACAGGATTTCCTGACAAACCAGGAAAAATAAATCTCATCTCAGTCCTGGCCCATCCTGGAGGGCAAGAGCAGGAAAGAAGGGCAAAGATGTGAAGAGAGTGAAGGTTGGAAGGTCATTCTACTCTGAAACATTTGTTTTGTAACACTTTATATAAACAAGGCGAAAATAAAGTCACAGTTATGATTCAATCAAATACTACTACACTGAACAAAATTATAATCGCAACACTTTTGTTTTTGCCCCATTCATCATGAGCTGAACTAAAAGATCTAAGACTTTCTCTCTGTACACAAAGGCCTATTTCTCTCAAATATTGTTCACAAATCTGTCAAAATCTTAGTGAGCACTTCTCCTTTGCCGAGATAATCCATCCACTTTGCATGTGTGATATATCAGGATGCTGAGCAGACAGAATGGGTATTGCACAAGTGTGCCTTAGGCTGGCCACAATAAAAGGCCACTCGAAAATGTTGGGGGGGGGGCGTCCGGAAACCAGTCAGTATCTGGTGTGACCACCATTTGCCTCACGCAGTGCAACACATCTCCTTCTCATATAGTTGATCAGGTGGTTGATTGTGGCCTGTGGAATGTTGGTCCACTACTCTTCAAAGTGCAAAGTTGCAGTCAGGTCGAGATGAGGACGACGAGCATGCAGATGAGCTTCCCTGAGACAGTTCCTTACAGTTTGTGCAGAATTTCTTTGGTTATGCACACCGATTGTTACAGCAGTTGTCCGGGTGGCTGGTCTCAGACAATCTTGGAGCTGAAGATGCTGGATGTGGAGGTCCTGGGATGGTGTGGT